TGGTAGAAAAATAGATTGTCGCGTAAAAAGAGTCCACAGTTACCCGGGTATTATGGTATTTCTCGGTTTGAAAAATGGTTTATCTGTCTCGAGTTAAACATAATCTATGACTTCTAAATGTTCAGGAACTCAGTACATACAGCACCGTGTATATAGTAGCCTGGGTACCATCCTACTTGTATGCCGGGGCTCCCACACTCGCTTCCCTAAGAAGTAGTCTGGAAACGGTTATATCTATTTGGTTTGGTGATGATGCCACATAATGAGGTAGGCCACATGGGAAGGGCTGGGCGGAGCCTCTTCCACGAGACGACCCATCAGTACAAAAGTTCACGTGGCCATGTGCTGTTTTGGTAAGGGTAAAAAAAAGTTTCTGCTGATGTATGACAAGTACAGCCACAAATTTACCTCGAGTACAACCATTTCTTGTTAGTTTTCTTTACGCAAGATGTTCTTTGTGGCTGTGTTTAACTTCAAATGTTAGCAAAATCATGACAACAGTGCATCTCAAGGGCTACTCCACTCCGTCCAAGATAAATAAACAAACCCTTCCTTGGTCAGTGATACCTGCTGAGCAGGCAGGAGATAAGCATCACCACATACTGAGAAGGACGTTAGGCTAATGAACAAGACAAAAGGGACCAATCAGCACACTCGGGCAAAATCTGACCGAGCCAAGCCGGTTCAGATGTAACCGTTTCCAGACTACTTCTTAGGGAAGCGAGTGTGTGAGCCCCGTTATACAAGTAGGATGGTACCCAGGCTAGTATATAGACACGGACCGTAGTAAACTTCGGGTAGGTTGTTGACTGAGAAATTATGGTTTCCAGGCTGATAACGAAAGAATCGTTTAATCTAAAGGAAAACTAAAATAGTCCACAGTTACCCAGTATTATGGTCTTTCTCCGTTTGAAAAATGTTTTATCTGTCTCGAGTTGAACATATTCTATGACTTCTAAATGTTCAGGAAGTCAGTACATACAGCGCCGTGTATATAGTCACGGACCGTAGTATACTTCGGGTAGGTTGTTGACTGAGAAGTTATGGGTTCCAGGCTGATAACGAAAGAATCGTTTAATCTAAAAGAAAACTAAAATAGTCCACAGTTACCCAGTATTATGGTCTTTCTCCGTTTGAAAAATGTTTTATCTGTCTCGAGTTGAACATATTCTATGACTTCTAAATGTTCAGGAACTCAGTACATACAGCGCCGTACATACGCCCCGTGCATATAGACACAGACCGTAGTAAACTTCGGGTAGGTTGTTGACTGAGAAGTTATGAGTTCCAGGCTGATAACGAAAGAATCGTTTAATCTAAAGGAAAACTAAAATAGTCCACAGTTACCCAGTATTATGGTCTTTCTCCGTTTGAAAAATGTTTTATCTGTCTCGAGTTGAACATATTCTATGACTTCTAAATGTTCAGGAACTCAGTACATACAGCGCCTTACATATAGACACGGACCGTAGTAAACTTCGGGTAGGTTGTTGACTGAGAAGTTATGGGTTCCAGGCTGATAACGAAAGAATCGTTTAATCTAAAGGAAAACTAAAATAGTCCACAGCTACCCAGTATTATGGTCTTTCTCCGTTTGAAAAATGTTTTATCTGTCTCGAGTTGAACATATTCTATGACTTCTAAATGTTCAGGAAGTCAGTACATACATCGCCGTACATATCGACACGGACCGTAGTAAACTTCGGGTAGGTTGTTGACTGAGAAGTTATGGGTTCCAGGCTGATAACGAAAGAATCGTTTAATCTAAAGGAAAACTAAAATAGTCCACAGTTACCCAGTATTATGGTCTTTCTCCGTTTGAAAAATGTTTTATCTGTCTCGAGTTGAACATATTCTATGACTTCTAAATGTTCAGGAACTCAGTACATACAGCGCCGTACATATAGACACAGACCGTAGTAAACTTCGGGTAGGTTGTTGACTGAGAAGTTATGGGTTCCAGGCTGATAACGAAAGAATCGTTTAATCTAAAGGAAAACTAAAATAGTCCACAGTTACCCAGTATTATGGTCTTTCTCCGTTTGAAAAATGTTTTATCTGTCTCGAGTTGAACATATTCTATGACTTCTAAATGTTCAGGAAGTCAGTACATACATCGCCGTACATATAGACACGGACCGTAGTAAACTTCGGGTAGGTTGTTGACTGAGAAATTATGGTTTCCAGGCTGATAACGAAAGAATCGTTTAATCTAAAGGAAAACTAAAATAGTCCACAGTTACCCAGTATTATGGTCTTTCTCCGTTTGAAAAATGTTTATCTGTCTCGAGTTGAACATATTCTATGACTTCTAAATGTTCAGGAACTCAGTACATACAGCGCCGTACATACGCCTCGTGCATATAGACACAGACCGTAGTAAACTTCGGGTAGGTTGTTGACTGAGAAATTATGGTTTCCAGGCTGATAACGAAAGAATCGTTTAATCTAAAGGAAAACTAAAATAGTCCACAGTTACCCAGTATTATGGTCTTCTCGGTTTGAAAAATGGTTTATCTGTCTAGAGTTAAACATAATCTATGACTTTTAAATGTTCAGGAACTCAGTACACACAGCCCCGTGCATATAGACACGGACCGTAGTGAACTTCGGGTATGTGAAAATATGTGAAAAATGTACAGTTGGTAGCAGAAAATCATTTTTGTAACATTCAAGGACATACAGGATGCTAAGAGGATAAAAATAGGCTACAGGCGTACTATAGTGTTTGAAAATAAAGTCCAAATACAATACCGCCCTTCTCTTGACAGAACGTTTCCTAGCACACGCACTCAAAACGTCTGCAGTGTAACAGCCCTCTTTTCACAGTGTAATCGAATGGGCTTAGACACAAGCCATGTTAGCTTTGACGCGAGAGACGCATAAAAAGCTGGAAATCCCTGTCGGGCGCTCTAATTGGTTTGCGTTCTGGGCGCAGGTTATCGTCAAAACCCCTTGTATAATTGTTCTTAGTTTAAAACTCTTTGGTTACGCTTTTCCGCACGTATTTATACTATCTTCACCATAGTTCCCTGACCAAGAACAAATGTCAGAAGCCATCGCTCATTATGCAAATCGGGTGTAATTGGCACCTCAACGTGAAGTTGGAACTTCACACCTGAGGCGAAGACCCTAAAGCGGAGGCGCGAGAAGCCCCACAAGTTTGTCTCACCCCGATGTGTTTGCATTTTAACACCTATTTGAGGAGGAATCTCGGAAACCTAGAAACGGTCGTAAATAAGTTTGTTACCTGTTACAAAAATTTTCACATAAAATCACATAATCATCTAGGACATAGGCAAATGTGAAATTATGTGAAGCATTTTCACATAAAATAACATTCTGACCTCTTATGTGAAAAAATGTGATTTGAACTTCACATAATTTCACATTTGACTCCTTTCAGTTTGCGGGGTAAAACCGCTTCACATTTCTTCACATCTTCTCACATTTTGAATTCACATTTTTTTTGGTCCATCTTTTCGGGTTGTGTGATTTCACATAATCGATTCACATTTTTCAAACAGTTACATTGTTTCACATAAAATAACATTTGACGATTCACATTTTGAAAAAAAATCACATTTTGGGTTTCACATATTTCTAATGGGATTCACATTACATCACATTTTTTCACATTTCATTAAAATTTTGCACGAAATTCACATAATTTTCACATTCATGCACCTGGTAGTGTTATATACTAAAAGTACTCACAAATACGCTGCTCTAGATAT